CATTGGGGAGGGTATGTGCTATGGTGAGCGCTGTGAATTGTGCAAGACTGTTGAATCACAGATCTGTACCTCTGAAACAAATAATGCAACATATGTTACGAAAAAAGAAAAAGAAGAAGATAGCAGGAGGGGAAGAATGAAGGGGGGGAAATCGGAGGGGGAGATGAACCATGAGAGACAACGGACTCTGAGAAACAAACTGAGGGTTCTAGAGGGGAGGGGGGTGGAGGGATGGGTTAGCCTGGTGATGGGTATCAAAGAGGGCACGTTCTGCATGGAGCACTGGGTGTTACATGCAAACAATGAATCATGGAACACTACATGAAAAACTAATGATGTAATGTATGGTGATTAACATAACATAATAATAAAAAAATTTTAAAAAAAGAAAAGAAAAGGATCTTGGGATGTGGAGATTATCTTGAATCATCTTGGTGGGTTCACGTCATCACAAGGGTCCTTTTCTTGTGAGAGGGAGACAAAAATTCAGAGTAGGTGAGGTGACCACAGAGGGAAGGAGAGGGGAAAAGGCAGTGTGAGGGGAAGCCATGATCTGAGAATGAGAACAGCCTGACAAAAGCTCACAGGCAAGAAAACGGATTCTCCCCTTGAGCCACCAGAAGGAATCAGCCTCGCTGCCACCTTTGCTTTAGCCCAGACTGATTTTATAGTTCTGACCTCTGGAACTGTAAAATAATAAAGGATGTTGTAAGCCACTAGGTTTGTGGTAGCTTGCTATGCCAGCAATAGGGAGCTAACGTAGAATATAATCAATAAATACTAAATATGGGTGAATAATTGGAAAACAGCTCTCTGTGATCCATCATTTACAAAGAATTTTATAGACAGATATTTTTTCAGTGATCAAATACTAACTGCTCCATCAGAAGTTAAGTTTATTACACAAAGAGAGCCATTTAAATTACATTATAGTATAAGTATGCGTGCACTGATTTTGAAATTGGAAGGCAGAAGAAATGACAAAAAATGACATGTCTTTCTTCCTGGGGATCTCTGTGTTTCCTAAGAGGTGACAGTTACAGTGCACTTAAGATTGGACTTGAGCCACTGACTTGTGGCAGTAACTGTGTCAGTCATCTGTGAATGTCCCGCCAGCATTGAGCACCCTGCTCTGTACAATGTTGGTTGGTGTTCCATCAATGTTTGCCAATTAAATAAATGACTGAACAAAATGAAAAGGTGAATGAGAAAGACTTACATCCTTAGTCAGGTTTTTACAGTTGATCATTTAGATGGAGCTTTATTCTAAATTAACCTAGAAGGACCTGGTGCTAGAACAAAAATAAATATTTTACTTGAAAAAAAAGGATTTTTTTTAAAGGCCACTAAAGGTGCAACTAAAAATGTGAATAAGTTGTAGGAGATTTTTCCACTTTTGGTTAGAAGACAAAAAGTCACAGAAAACCACTGGTCCCACTGTAATGATGAGAACACAATAAATTTAGAAATCTTATTTGTTGTGCAAGACACTGAGGAGATCTGGACACAATCCTAATCGAGCAGAATTTCAGAGGGAGATGAGACCCCAGCCATGAGTAGGCAGAAGAGCTAGCCTGCTCTTGGCGCAGAAACCTGGCTGTAATAAGGAGACAGGAGCCCAACTTTGATCAGCCAAACATCAGCTAGTACGGCAGACTGGGAGGTGGAGAAACGGCGAGCCCCCACGGCCAGTCAGTGCTCCTTCATCATGCTTTTGCCTGGCAAGCAAGCATTGGTGGTGAAGAAGCTGGCAACTGGGTGGAAAGGAGAGAGATGTAATCTCACATGCAGAGATCCCAGACTCTGATGCGGGCCAGATCTCACCACCAACGGGAAATCAGATATGAAATCCAGTTCGACTCCTGATTAGAACAAAGAGATCTTGCCTAGTCACCTTAGCTGCCTGACAGGGCAAAAGGACAAGGCTTTCTGAGGACAGATATTACCTACTACAGCTTCTTTGTTCTTTTATACACAATATAAAAGTGAGGTAAGTGGAAAAGCAGGAAAAATGTGACCCATAATAAAGAAGAAAAAAAGAATAAAAGGAGAATAGATAACAAAATGGGTTGGAATTTACAGACAGGACTTAAAAACCACTATTATGAAGATGCTAAAGAATTTAAGGGAAAATGTACAAAATGGGCGAAAAGATGAAGAATTCACCAGAGTAATAAAAACTCTAAAAAGGAAGCAAATAGAAATTGTAGAACTGATAAGTACAATACAAATTCATTGGAGGGGCTTAATAGTTAAATGGACAAAATAGAAAAGGTTAGTAAACCCAAAGATAAGAGAACAAAAAATATCCAAAATAAAGCACTGAGCTAAAAAAAAAAAAAAAAAAAAGGTAATAAAACACACACCCTGAGAATCAGAATACTATGGCATAATTTCAAATGGTCTGACATACATGCAGTTACGGCCGGAAAAGAAAAGAAAGAATAGAGAAGAATTGTTGGAAGAGATATTAGATGAGGGTTTCAAGGGTGGTTGAAGGACATTAATCCAACCCAGTGAAAGCCCAAGCAGGAAAACAGACAGAAAATCACACATAGGTCAAACCACTGAAAACCAGAGTACGAAGATAAAGGCAATGGAATGACATGTTTCAAGAGCTGAAAGGAACCCACACATTCATTCACACAAATATACACACACACATGCACACACACCCACATGCGCCCATACATACGAGCACACGTGTACACAAACTGGCAACCTAGATACCTATATTTGTAGAAAATACTCCTAAAAAGTAAGGGTGAAAAAAAGGCATTTCCAGACAAGCAAACTGCGAACATTCATGCTGCACTACAGGAAAATATTAAAGGAAGTTCTCCAGACCAAAGGGAAATGATCACAGAGAAAAACCAAGATTGGCAGAAAGGAATGATGATCAGTGGGGTAAATACCAAGGGAGATATAAAACAACATAGCTTTAAGTATCTTTAAAAAGACAACTGGCTATTTGAAGCAAAAAGAGTGATATACTATGGGATTATAATACACGGAGAAATAAAATAACAACAGTAATATTAAATTCAAGAGGAGTAAACAAAACTACACTGCTGAAGGATGTTAAATGTCTCAGGAAGTTGTGTAACAGTCACCACGGTAAAGGGTGATGGGTTAATTACGCATGTTGTAATCTAGAATAGCTACTTAAAAATACAAAATGGAGAGGTGCCTAGGTGGCTCAGTCGGTTGAGTGACTGACTCTTGATTTCAGCTCAGGGTCCAGAGAGCTCATGTTCTCTCTCTCTCTAAAATAACAAATGAATAAATCTTTTAAAAAAATACAAACTAGTGAGACTGAACAGGAACAGGGGTAATAAAATGGAATAAAAGAACAAACAAACCAAAAAACACATAACCTCAGTTTCCAAATGAAGAAAGAACGAAGAGAAGGGGGAAATGGGGAAGAAATAAAAAATGACAGAATTAAGCCCAAGAATCTCCCAGGTAATTATAGTAACTGTAAGAAGTATTCAACACTCCAGTTAAATCCGGACTTAAATAAAAAGACCCAACTCTATGCAGTTTACAAGAGGCACACTTAATATAAGGACCTAGAGTGAAAATAAAATGAGGAAAAGGACACACACTGCAAACACTAATCATAAGAAAGCCAGTGTGTCTACATTAGTACCAGAAAAACTAAACTTTAAAAGTATTATCGGTGATTGGGGCACCTGGGTGGCTCAGATGGTTGGGCGTCTGCCTTCGGCTCGGGCCATGGTCCCAGGGTCCTGGGATCGAGCCCCGCGTCAGGCTCCCTGCTCAGCGGGGAGCCTGCTTCTGCCTCTCCCACTCCCCCTGCTTGTGTTCCCTCTCTCACTGTGTCTCTCTCTGTCAAATAAATAAATAAAATCTTAAAAGTATTATTGGTGATTAAGATGGCTATTTCATAATGATAAAATGGTCATTAACAAAGCCCAAAGTTAGTTCTTTGCTCAGACCAAAAGCTTGATAAATCTCTTATTTTTCTGCATACAATTTCTGATGGTTTATGAACTCCTGTGTCTTTATGGGCCTCTACTTAAAACTTCTTTCCAAGGAATGCCTGGGTGGCTCAGTCAGTTAAACGTCTGCCTTCAGTTCAGGTCATGATCCCGGGGTCCTGGGACAGAGCCCCGCATCGGGCTCCCTGCTCAGCGGGGAGCCTGCTTCTCCCTCTCCCTTGATCCCTACCCGCTGGTCATGTTCTCTCCTGTTCTCTTGCTCATGCTCTCTCTCTCAAATAAATAAAAAAATCTTAAAAAAAAAAAAAAAAACTTCTTTCAAATACACATTGTATTTAAATTCCACAAGTTTCTTTTCAAGTATATGACCCTTCCATTCTTAAAAACCATTATTATTATTATTATCATTATTATTGTTATTTGATTCTTCAAATCCTTTTACCTGAAATTTCACGTTCTGGTTAATATCTGACACGCGAAACTGCTTCAGGAAACGCTCATCCTCACTCCAGAAGAGGCGGATGTCAGGGATGTCATAGAGGATCATGGCCAGTCTTTCCAATCCTAGGCCAAAGGCCCAACCGATCCGATCTTGAGCACCAGCTACAATTAGGAAAACAAAACTGATTTACAAAATATAAAGACTTCACAGGTGAATGCTACTTGCTGATAAGTAACCAGTACTACTGGTTGAGCGCCTACTAGTGGTGAGGCACGGGGGGTGGGGGGGCGTGGGGAGCTGTGGAGACATCCATGAGGGTCCCTGCCTTAACGTTTCTCATGCTTCCCACATTCCTCACTCACTTCCTTCACTGAAGCACTCCGGAGTCACACTGTCTCTGACATTGCCTTTCATTTATAATTATATTCCAGGTTCTTTAAAGCCCTGGTTCCTGCCTCTGAGTAAACCTTGTTTGCCCTGATTCAAACATTTAGCCTACTATGTGTAGGTTACAGAGGAGAGAGAAATGATTGTCTCTTGTCCCTACATGGCTTACTAGACAGGCAGGTGTGTTCAAAACATGCCAGAGTGGACTGTTAATATTCAGAAAGAACCCTCAATTTCATTAAAACAACCTTCACCCTTAGTAAGAGTTACCTCAAGAAAACACGGAGAGCAAGAAAGCCAAGGTAAAATGCTTATCTACTACCATTCACTCCAAAGATAAGCTGTGTTGTTGACATTATGGCAACACCATGAACTTGAAGGGTTTATTTCACCTACCTGAAGCAGAGTAAGACCAAAGACCTAAAGCCCTGTGTGAAGAAGGCAAGGGAGCAACACATACTACTGGAAAAGCTTACAGAAAGGGCTCATGAAAGGAACATAATTTTTCCTAAAGATGATTAGGATCCTGGGCAGGCTGCAAATGGCCTCAAGATTTCACTCCCGACATACGTGCCCTGTGTAAATCCCTCCCTTTGAGTGTGGGTGGCTCCAGGAATGGGGTGGGATTTCACCCCTGTGATTTGGTTACTTTATATGCAGGTCCATCTGAGCAAACCAGCTCACAGAAATGAGAAGGCCATGTGGCTAGGACCTGAGGGAGGCCTTTAGAAGCTGGGGGAGGTCCTGGAGGTCAGCAAGAAATGGAACCCTCACTCCTACAACCTTAAGGAAATGAATTCTCCCAACAGTGTGAATGAGCTTAGAAGAGGACCCTGAACTCCAGAAGAGCACATAGCCCTGCTGACCCCTTGATCTCCACCTGTGAAGACCCTGAGCAGGGAACCCAGCCAATCTGCGCCTGGACTTCTGATGCAAGGAAAATGTGACATAATAAATTTAGGTTGTTTTAATCCATTAAGTATGAGGCTAATTTGTTACCCAGCAAAAGAAAACTAACACAAATCCAAAATGTGAAGGTAAAAGAAAATTCCAGACTCAAGGAACGTCTTCAATAACAAAGGGGTGACAGTGCAGCGTGGAATGGTTGGGAGTAGATTCTGGAAACAGATGGTTCGAGGTTGAGGCAGGTAAGAGAGGAGAGGATCCATTTCTGCCCAGGTGCTCCTACTACAATTGTTTGTAAATAAAACAACAAGGATAAATGTATAACAGAAGCCATGCAGAAGTATGAGCCTCTGCAAATGGTGCGTTTAAAAGCTGAATGAATTAAAATAGTCAAAAAGAGATCAGAGAGAGAGAGAATGGCTCAGTAGCGGGAGGGAAGGTGTATGTATAAGAAAAGCAGGTGGTTGGCTGAGTGCACCTGTAAGAATGAACTGAGTAAGAATGAACATTCAGGTGAAGAGGAGGGAAGAGGGGTATTTAACCTCACAGACAGTGGGGTCAGGAAAAAGTGTCCACAACCCCTCACCCTGTGATCAGGTGCCTAAGAGAGTTGAAGTGTGAGGCAAAATATTTTAGAATAATTCATACTGATGCATGAGGCCTTAAAAAAAGGCTGGTGACTAGTTAAAGACATGAAATTTAATATAACCATGATAGATTTTTAAATCTACTTAAAGAAGAATTTTTTTTTTCTTTAATTGAAAACTGACAGTCCTGGTGATGTGGTTCCAACACATTCTGCATGTGTGGTTCTAGCGTCCTCATTCACTTCTGGTTACACTATGTATTTTTACAATTTGGAAACAACATGGCAACACGTATAAAGATCCTTAAAAATGTTCACACTCTTTATTCTTATAACTCTACCCAGGAATTGAGCCTAAGGAAATAATTCAACAAAATAAAAACATAAATGAAAGAAGATACTCAGCAGTACAACTTTAAGAGCAAAAACATGGAAACAACCTGAGTAGCCCAAATTAGGGACTGGCTTAAAAATTATAGGACATTTTGATGGAGTCATTAAAAATCATAGCTATGCAAATACAAATTTATTAAGTGACAGACTATAAGAACTTACGAAGAATATCTATGATAACATGAATATGTCCTGTGATACTACTATTTAATATAGGTACAAATGAGGATTTACTGTGAAAAAATAAAAACAAAATGTGATGTTCAAGAATTATAATGGATAATAGTTTTAAAACAGCTTTAAAACATTTTCCTGAAATCATTATAGTCTTTTCTTTTTTTAAAAAAAGATTTTTTTATTTCTTTATCAGAGAGAGAGAAAGAGAGAGCATGCACAAGCAGGGGGAGCAGCAGAGGGAGAGGGAGAAGCAGGCTCCCCGCTGAGCAAGGAGCCCGATGCGGGGAAGGCAGACACTTACCCAACTGAGCCACCCGGGCGTCCTGCTACAGTCTTTTTAATAAGAAAGTAATAAAGATAGATAGGAATGTTAATGCTGCTTTGTGATTTAGGCTTTTTCCTTAATCTTTTAGATTTTATGATCAATTTTTTAGATATAATCAACCACCTGAGCCTAATATCCGTAACTGAATGAGCAATAGATTAAGGGTAAGATCTTATTTAATATCTAGTATTTTGGTTGTTTTTGGTATCTTAGCTTTTACTCCTTTCATCTATCCCCAGTTAGTCCCCATCCCCCAAAACATTTTCTAAAGCAAAAACAAGAATAACAAAGAGCCCCTAAAAGTAGGTAAGAAAAAAAGCAACAACCCAATTATTTGAGAGAGGGAGAGAGAGGGGGGGGGGGGGGGGGGGGGGGGGGGGGGGGGGGGCAGAGGGACAGACAGAACCTCCAGCCGACTCCGCACTGAGCGTGGAGCCAACACGGGGCTCAATCCCATGACCCTGAGATCATGACCTGAGCCGAAATCAAGAGCCAGATGCTCAATCGACTGAGCTGCCCAGGTGCCCCAACAAGCTAAATTTTTAAATGGACAAAGAATATGAAGACATGCATAGAAATGGAAAGAAAAATTACCTTCAAGCAAACAAAAAGCTTAGTTAAAAAAAATGCAAGAAAAAAATGCATAAGTTACCATATTTTACTTATCAGATTAACTAAATAAACACATCTGATACCATACTTGATAGCAAAGCCAAGGGAAAACAAGCACTCTCCACACAGCTGGTAGGTTCACAATTGGGTTTTTAACCCATTGACCTAAGGAGCAGAATATAGCAGTAGCTATCAAAATTACAGATGCCTATACCACCTTGTTACTTTAGCTACTAGAATGCATCCTACTTATGGGAAATTATGACTGTGTAAGGCCACTTGCTGGAGTATTGTTTATAAAAGCAAAAGACCGTAAATAACCCAATGTCCATCACTAGGGAACTGATTAAACAAACTAGGCTACGTCCATACATGGCATATTATTACAAAAAAATCTCTGAAAGATTTCAAAAACTCAACGCAGCAGCTGTCTGACTTTGTTTTGTTTTGTTTTTAATTTGGGGGTGAGTGGGAAAGAACTGGGAAACTGGGGGACAAATATGGGGAGACTTCACACTACATGCCTTTTTTTTTGTTTTTAAATAATTTTTTTATTGTTATGTTAATCACCATACATTACATCATTAGTTTTTCATGTAGTGTTCCATGATTCATTGTTTGTGCATAACACCCAGTGCTCCACGCAGAACATGCCCCCCTCAACACCCATCACCAGGCTAACCCATCGCCCCACCCCCCTCCCCTCTAGAACCCTCACTCTGTTTTTCAGAGTCCTTTTTAAATAAAGAGTGACAAGAAATATTTCAGACAATAGAGATTTTTGTTACTAGATAAAATACAACAATTTCTTTTCTGTTTATTTTCAAGAGGTTATAAGAACAAAGTATTCCTCTTATGTCACACTGGGGCCAAACTTTCAGGATAATCATGATTAGTAAAAATGAATTTCTATGTCCTCCTTTTATAGCCAGGATTGGTTTCCTTCATTCTCTAAGACCCAATACATTTCCAAACCATCCCCACTATGTGTTGTCCAAATTTGTGACCACAGAATAATAAAATGGTGGCTCTCTTATGCCATTAAGTTTGGAGTGGTTTGTTATTGAACAAGGGCTAACCAGACATTGTTAAATCATCTGGGTTTTGCCTTTTATTGTAAACATTTCTCATTATGGAAATGCAAATAAAGACTAGATAGGGTTTCACTTAGGAGAGATCAGGAATTAAGCTTAAAATAAGATCAATCGCCTATTATAGCACCCTGTACATGCCATAGTATCAATTATGTCATAATATCACATCTATCCAAAGGCCATGCCACCCCACATTATTTATTGCATTGCTCATCCCATGTATACAACAGACAATCCTAAGCCAAAGCTATGTAATACTCCTTCTCCCAACCAACTACTGCTTTTCATCTGATTTTTCTACCTATGATGAGTGGGATCATCTTCCGTCTAGTTATTCAAGGCAGAAACCTAAGAGTAAATTTTAACTCCAATACTACCTCATTTCAGATATAGACCTTTAAATTATATCTCAAAATTTCTCTCAAAACTATCCCTCCATTCTAGTCTAATTGTCGCTACAGATTTGCGCCTTCAACAAACATCTCTCACCTGGGCTCTTCCAAGAAACACCCAAGTAGTCACCACGTCTGTCTCTCTATTTGGTCCATCTGTGCTAGTGCCACCAATTCTCTTTCTAAAACATAAATTTGGACACTGTCACCACTAGATATGTATAAGGGTAAAACAATGAATGACTCATCTCCAAGAGTCATGTTTGTTCTTATTTTTATTTTGCATTTA